GGTGTTTCCACCGCAAAAACGCTCACCCCAACCCGATTCTGACCCGACTCTAGCCCGACTCTGACCCTCGGTGGAAACGTAGTCATGTATCTTGTTTCGCTACGAGTACAATCTTCGCGAGTGTTTTCAGAAGCCAGGAACGCAAGGGGTGTCGCAAACGCAGCGGGACCGAGCCTGTGTGATAGTAGCGCAAATCTTGCTTGTGTGCGTCAATTTGGATTTGTGTGCTTTTTTTTATCCTGAGGTGCATAGAAAATGTGCTTCCCTTTCCTCGTTTGATATCCTCGTTTCTGTTCTTGTATGAGTTTTCTAGTATATATTTTTCCTTTCTTTATTATGAATTTTATTGTTTAAAGTTTAACAAGTAGAACAAATATATTTTTGTGATATATTGTATCTTCCTTCTCATATAATCTTTCTAACATGTATATTGCTTATACAAATTTTAACAATATGTGCTCAAATTCTCACGTAACATCACATGTACTTGACCTTGTAATCTTTTTATCTTGTGTAGTCTTCATGCAATTTTCCTTATTTGTCATATAGCTTTTTTATTAGCCAAATTTTATTTTGAAATATAAAAGTATATACTTCCTCCTTATTATGTATATTGTGTGTATCTTTTCTCTATTTCTTATTATGTAAATGAGTTTTCTGTTCGTATAACTTTCCTCGTAGTTATTTATTGCTGTTAGACGAAAGCTGGTTCGCATTAGACGTGAAACACATGCATGTATTGTAAACAAAATTTTCGGGACTTGGAATTCTCGAGTGGAACACTTGGAGAAGATCCTTTTCTTCATTCATGAAACATGTCGCGGGCTGCATCTCCGGTTGTTGCAACCAGAATAATTGGCATAATAGAAAAATGTCACATTTGTCTTTTTTTGCAATTGTAAGTTTCACTTTCATTTTATTTCATCCTTCGCTGTGCTAAATACGCGTTTATTTTTTGAGTGCAAGAAATGTGAAGTGTGATAAAGCTGGAAAGAAGAATATTTCATACTTTATTTTATATTACTTATTTCTACATCTATTCTACATCTTCTGAAAAGGATAGACGTGTCCCTCTAAAGTAAGATCGTCTCGGGATCATCTTCAGACACTCCGTAGCCAATAAAATGTTCCATACAGCACCTTTAGACAAATTCACGGCGGTCTGGAATATAAGATCTGACTACGAATACCGGCCTAAGACAAAAGAAATAAAGCGGGAAGACCGCCAAATTTTCCCAAGTTTGAAATTCGAGTAACATGTCGTCGAAGAGTAAAATTATTTATTTGACGTTTCCGTACATTAACGCAAGTCCGCTCGATAATCGAGGTTAAAGTTAAAACTCTTTAATAAATTGTCTTATCCCCGCCCACGGAAGTATTTGTCCGTCGTGTAAGAAATTCGCGATTACACAAGTCGCGATTCGTAATCGCGGGGGGTTGCGCGCGCTTTCAAGACGAGACCGAGGAAACGTCGGGCGCGTGCCGACCGTCCCCGAACGTGTCCGATCGCGCGCGTCCGGCGGTGCCGCGCTCTCGATCGGATCGGGGTTAGGGAGTGACGTAGGCGGGGGAAACAAACGGCCCACGGCTGGAATCGTACGCGTCGTTTTCCGCCCGAGAAGAGAGCCTGGCCGACGTAAATGTCAAAGGACTAGGTCGGTTCGTAACGCGCGAGTATCATCCCGGACCGACGAGAGCGTCTCTCTCTCTCTCTTTCGCGTAGGCGTGGAGATGGTCTGAAGAGAGGCGGCCGAGAGTCTCGCTCCCGTCTCCACCCGTCGACGCAAAGATGTTGGGCGACGTAGCGATGGACGCGAACGGCAACGGCAAGCGCGATCCTCTCCACGTCGGTCCCGTCTACTTCCACCGGCGCGCGGCCAGCAATGACGTGAGTCGAACGACCGCCCTGGAAAAGCGCTCGGACAGCGCGGACGGTGAACCATATCGGTGGTCCTAACCTATCCGTCGCCAGCATCCGCGAGCTCCGGCCGAGAGACTCGGACTGTGAACGTTCGATAGCTCGCCTCGGATCTAATTTCAGGATAGGATTCTGTTTACTTTTCCGCGCTATGTATTTTATATTTTAATGTATTGATATCTATCTATGTCTTGAGAACGTCTTGAAAGACTTACATGGTCCATAAAGTCGTCAAGTCCACGCTGAATTCGAACAGAAATTATTGATCCTTGAAAAACAGTCGTGAATTATAGATTGTGTATTTTGATTCTCCAAGTATTTCTCACATTACATAGCGAGAAACATTCGCAAAGTGATATCTTGCTCCTTAATTTAATTATGCCTGGCGACGGTAACGAATGAATAAGTGACGAAGAGATTTATAAATATATGAAAAATTTACTGCATAAATATGCTGTTTCCTTGATAAATGTACTGTTTTAACTACAAATGTAGCAAATACTTGATGTAGAGATTTAGAAATCTCTCTAGCTCTCCCGATCCAGGTGTTAGGAAATATTCACGTTCAGTAGAAATGAAAATTGTATGACTCGAACTATTCAATTTGTTTAATATCGTTTTTAAATTGTTTAACATCTGTGTTATATTATTCCAGGAGAGCAATAAAACTACAGATCTGGAGTTTGTTTACGACGACACTGACATACACGCCAATGAAATCTCCGAGTTGTACAGCTACACGGAACAATACGAGTTGCAGCTTAATCTTAAGGTACGATTCTGTCTTACGAAACGCGCGAGCAGATCGTGTGACCTTAGTTTTCTTCATAAATTCCAGGCGTTTGAGGATCAGATGGAATCTTACACGTTACCACCGTGGTGGCAAAACTTGACAAGACCGCAGCAGAGATCGGTAGTCTACAAGTTACTGGATCAACTGGAGGTTTCTAACAAACAACTACGGATGAAAGCGGCGCGTTGTATTCTTTACTTAGCTCAGGGCTGTTGGGCTGAGATACAGTCTGACAAGGAGCAGCAAGACTGGTCTAGGACAAACGTAATGTTACTCTACGAAGCTGGCATTTTTCCAGCGTTTGTTGAACTGCTAAACATTGAGATTGAGTAAGTTTCTTCGTACATGTGTATGCGTGTAATATTAGACACGGTTGAATTCTCTGGTTAAATGTCCATTGAATTATTTGTGTAGAAATAGCACAACCGCTACCTCAGCGATGAGAAAGCTAGCTGTTAGCCTCGCTGATTCGATAGACTTAAGAGTCATTCTGTCCGTTTTATACATTATAACAGAAGTTATGAGAGAGGAATTAAAAAGTATCGAGAACAGTGAATATAAGGACAACGTTGAGGCTTTTAAAGAAGATGTTGGTATGTCCGTCATTTATACAGTACATTTTTAATGCTTACAAACGAGAAATCGGTCTTTTAAAATTACTACTTCCTTTGCAGTAAATCCATATGGAGAGGAATTACTGATTGTCAAACTTCTCGGCATGGTAACGTGTTTCTGTAGCGGCTCAGCACCACATTTTCCCATGAAAAAGGTTCTCCTGCTTCTGTGGAAGTTAATCCTAGTCTCTCTTGGCGGCATCGACGCGCTCAGGGAGCTGAAGAAGCAGTATCGCGAGGAGGCGGGACTCGATACGCAACAGGAAGACACCATCGAGGTCGCCAGAACGATGAGAGCTAGCTCTCCGCCAATGAGTGCGGCAGATTTGTTAGAAACGCAAAATCAGAAAAGGAACAATCGACCTTTTCGACGGGTAATGCGTTGATCTAAGATTACTGTATATGATTGTTACTTTTATTCATTGTGTTAATCATCAAACATTTTTCAGAGTTTGATGAAACAAAGCTCATTAGATGACCCAGGCTTAGGTATGGAATATGAAGGAGGAGAACCTCCAAATAACACCGCAGTGAATGAAGGAGATGGCGAGCTGATCGTATTCCTGGGTCCTGGTGGACCTGGCAGCTGGAATCAAGCGTATTACGAGGATCAGAATAATCAGTCGCAATTGAGGCCAGGAACGCCACAGCTTACAAAGGGCAAAGGTAAATATCTTCTTTTAATTCTCTACAATTCTCATTCAAGTATTAATATTTAATATTTCATTTGCCAGGTTTACCATGGACGCCCAAAGTGAGACAAAAGGACGTGGACACCTTCCTTGAAGTCGCCAGAATGAAGTTTGTCGGTTACAAATTACAAGGGGATAGAGAGAGTTTAGCGGGTTTACCGCAACCGATCCATGAAGGCGTCACTACCCTTAAAAAGGTATATTTGGTTGGCTTGTGACGATATTGCAACACAATCTGCTACTGTAATATCTAATGGTATAATATATTTTAGCACATGTATACATCTCTAGCGGAAATTCAGATAAGAAAGGAAGAAGAGATAGCAAGAAACCCAATGAGTACTTTAGAACCACCACTTCGTCAAACACCAACGGAAATTCTTTATCAGGCTATATTACCAAATTTGCCACAGTATATGATCGCTTTGCTGAAAATATTGCTTGCTGCCGCACCTACAAGCAAGGCTAAAACAGACAGTATTAATATCTTGGCTGATGTGTTGCCGGAGGAGATGCCGTTAGTATAAATAATGATAGATGCACATAAGTCTTAAAAATAAGAAAAGTATCAAATATAATTGATTAATTCGATTGCATTCCATTTTTTTTAATTAACTACCAAATTTGAATATCTTTTTAATATTGTAATTGTGTTTAATTTATAATACGTTTTTTTAGAATGACGGTGCTGCAATCAATGAAATTAGGAATCGACGTTAATCGACACAAGGAGATTATTGTTAAGGCTGTTTCTGCAATTTTATTACTGTTGCTCAAACATTTCAAACTGAATCACGTATATCAATTTGAATTTATGTCGCAGCATTTAGTATTTGCCAATTGTATACCTCTTGTATTGAAGTTTTTAAATCAGAATATTATTGCGTACATTGAAGCGAAGAACGTGTAAGTAAAAATGTGATTGCTGCTTAAGTTTCTATGTGTTACAATATGTAATTGATTTATATCGCAACAGTATTCCCATTTTGGACTTTCCCATGTGTGTCATTGGCGATCAGCCGGAATTAACTACGGATAGCCTCGAAATCGGTCATAGTCAGTCTTTCTCATGGAGAAATGTCTTCTCCTGTATCAATTTGTTAAGAATTTTGAACAAATTAACCAAATGGAAACACAGTAGGATAATGGTAAGTCATTTTTTATCAGTAATGCTGATTTTTTTTTACATTTCACATTTATATTTATGAAAATTAATATGTATCTTGTACATTTATGTTTGCAGATGTTAGTCGTTTTTAAATCAGCACCTATTTTAAAACGCACGCTAAAAGTCAGGCATGCAATGATGCAATTATATGTTTTAAAATTATTGAAAATGCAGACGAAGTATCTTGGTCGGCAGTGGAGAAAGACAAATATGAAAACTATTAGTGTCATTTATGCAAAGGTCCGACATCGCTTAAATGATGATTGGGCATACGGCAATGGTAAATAAAAACTTGAAACATTTCATTTACTATTTCGTGTTAATAATAATAATCTTGCAAAAGTTTATAACGTTTCTGAATTACTAATGATTAAATAGATTTAGAAGCACGGCCGTGGGATTTCCAAGTTGAAGAGTGCGAGTTACGCACATGCGTTGATCAATTCAATAATCGAAGATATTCAAACGTTCCGAGAGACGAGGAAATGGAACCGATCGACGCGTCAGTAACATCCGTGCTCGGTGCAAATGTGGAATTAACCGAGGAATTTAAGCAGCACTACGAATTATGGTTGCAACAGGAGGTGTTTCAGAGGAGTATCAATTGGGACGAATTGTTGGATCCTGCGGCGTGTGAAATCTAAGTTCCATATATAAGCATAAAGCACATGTGAATCGTATTTCCCTTAAATCATAGATTTGAATGGAATTGCGACATTTTTACAAATTACACATTGCGAGAAGTGTTCAAGCGAAAACACATTGCCATATCGACACTGCAAAAATTTTCAAGTTGCATTTGACATCGCGATGAATGGTCCTAATTTAGGAAACGTTTAAACAAAAAGACTTTCTGATGAAACGCGTAAGACATTTCAAATTTCTTTCGTATTTTGTGCAATACAACATGCATGCTTGTAGTCATTTTCTTTAATTATAGGCAGCCAATTTCAAATAAATGTATAATTTTTCTTTTATATATATAATGTATATAATATATTATATATTAAATATATAATATATACAATTAAATTTGAAATTATACATATATACATACATATAATAGAAAATATTAAAATTTAGAACATTTTAATAAAATATATTCATCTTTTTTTTTGTTAAAGGTACTATCTGATTTTCCATAGATCAAGTTGTTATATACTATAATTTACAGGCATATAATAATACATCGTAATTCAATTTCCTACATTTTATATGTTTTTACATGTCTTCTCAACCCTTTCTATCGTAGTGAACATATACAATGAACCTCGAGAGAACCTTGATGTATGTATGCAGAGACCATTCTTACTTCTAACCTGCATTATTTGATAATACATGCAGATATATACATTCAGTTTGTCGTAATCATGTCATTAATTTGTATCTATATATCCATGTATAGCTGATCTTAAGAGGAATAGCAGAATTATGTTGAGGTTTAGTGCTGTATAAGATGTAAAATGATCGGCTACCGCTTACCTGGTACACTTAGAATAAGGTTTTTCCACAACATAGGTAAATACACGTATGGGAAGTCAACTTTCTCTTATTTATTTCACATAAGTTACACAATTGAACAATCTCACACAGATCTCTAGTGTTGTATAATTTATGTTATTAAAGACTTGTACAGTATGCCGCGACTGGTATCACACATATGTTTCGATTGTCAAGATTTAATAAAACTAATCTACATAGAAAGACTGATTCACATTCCCTTGTAATATTATTCTTGAGATAGCCTATTATTAGGCGGAAGACCAACTTTCTGTTCTGTTTGTTCTTTGTGGCTGCACTGATGATTTCGGGATATAAAGAATACGAAAGTAAACGGATAAAACGATTCTAAAAAGTATACGATTATTAAATCGGTTTTTAATTTAGAATTATTTCTTCAGAAGAAAAATTTTCATTTTATCTAATAATTAGAAACAAATTAGAATAAAAATGAGAATAATAGTACATCATTTAGCAATTGATTTTTTTAATCGTAAAGAATTACAAAACTGCATATTACATCTAGGTTTTAAATTAAGTCAAAATAAGGAATATCGAATGGAATGTCGAATAATCGAAATATAAAATTACATAATAAATATTCGATATTACATATACACGTGTATACATTTATGTGCGCACATGCGCATAAAATATGTATGTATATGTTACAAATCTTATCTTTGTCAATGTCATTAAAAATCGTTTTAAATGCATTGTTGAAGCATTACAGCAGAAAGTTCAGCGACAAGAGAACAAACGTTACATTTTTACATACTATAATGAGCTCGGATATGTAAATATTGTCGATAAAATAAAAAGGGAATATAAATATTATATATAAAATTGTAAAAAAATATTTGTTATATTATCAATGGTTTATCAAACATTGTGGAATGTGTCAGTCACAACAGTTGCATCATTTTTCAGTATATCTTAAGATTTATACTTTGCGTCATAAATCTTGTGTCACAGTGATCGATTTTCATTGATTTCACGGTTTCACCCATTTATACGAACCATAGTACGCGAAATTATTTTTCTTCGCCATGTCGTCAGCTTCTTTTGGCCCTCGAGAGCCATACCTGAAAAATTTAAATAAACAATAATATATTTTGCTTTAGAAATACTTATACTCCTACGTACTTATATGGAATCGGCTGGATTTTTTCTTTTTCAATTTGATGAAGCAGCGGCGTGAATATCCGCCATGCCTCGTGCAACTCATCATTTCGTACGAAATGCATTTGCGAACCGCAAAAGACATCTAAAATTAATCTCTCGTAGGCGTCCGGTAATTTAAGGCCCTGGAAGAAATGATTCATGAGCAACGATGATGCTTTACATATCCAATTTTAACTTCAACTACAAGTTTTTTTTTGTCAATGAATTTACTTACCTTGTATCTACTGCCATAGGTAAAGTCCAATTCCGTTTCCTCCATGTCAAACGTGATGCCTGGTGACTTCGTCATCATTTTAATATATAATGCTTCGCCTGGTTGCACCCTTATCACCAATTCGTTCCTTTTTGCCTTCCCATCGAAGATATCACCCGGTACGTCCTGATACTGTACTCTAACTTCCGCTTTCCTTTCGTTCAGAGCTGCGACATTCCGCGGCAATTAAAGATAAAAGCCTTGTATTTGCCGAGAAACGGAATCTCCTTCAATCTTCTTACCTTTCCCGCATCTTAGGATGAACGGTACTCCGTCCCACCTCTCATTGTTTATTTTTAGCACTGCGAAGGCGAATGTCGGCGTGTTGGATCCAGCCGGTACCGTGGCATCGTCCAAGTAGCCTAAACGCGCCTCCGTATCCTTAGAATCTGGATCTCCGACGTACTGACCGAGGACCACCTGATCAAGGTGCAGGTCTTTGATGCATCTGAGCACCTTCACCTTCTCGTTTCTAATATCGTCCGGTTGACAAGACGCGGGTTTCTCCATGGCTACCAAGGACAAGATCTGCAGCAGGTGATTCTGCATTACATCTCTGATGATGCCGAACTCGTCGAAATAGCCACCTCTACCCTGGGTGCCGAATGGTTCTTTGAATGTGATCTGCACCGAGGCTATATTGTCCCGGTTCCATGTCGGATTGAAAATCCTGTTTCCGAATCTCAGGGTCATCAGATTCTGCACCATCTCCTTGCCGAGATAGTGATCGATACGGTAGACTTGATCCTCGCTGAAAAGCGTCGCCAGATGATCGGACAGCTTCTGCGATGAGGCGGCGTCATGGCCGAATGGTTTCTCAATTATAATTCTTGTCCATCCTCTGAAATTTTTATATAGATATACCACATATATACTAGATATATATTCTATTTATCAATGAACTAAATTGGTAACTTCGGAAATTATTTTGACGTATTTTCTCTTTTCGATTTTTGAATGCTTTGTATATTGTATAATTATTGTATATATTTTCAAAATTTATTCTTACTTCTCTGCCATACAGGTAAGCCGGATGCGTACCGTCACGCTTTCAAACACGCTCGGTGGTAATGCCAGATAAAACAGCCTGTGCGCAGTGTCCTCTTGCTCAAACTTTTGTAATTCACGATTTAGTAACTCAAAGTCTTTCTTCTGATCGTAGGAACCAGCGACGTAGTGATTCAGCTTCCAAAACTCCTCATACTTTTCCGTCTCGTCCGGCTTCACGTTCATGTATGGATGACACTTATCACGCAATTGTTGTTTTGTTAATCTACTTCTAGCGTAACCGACGAAAGTGGTGGGTTTCGGCAGAAGATTGTCCCGGAAGAGCCACCAGAGAGTTGGATAGATCTTCTTCTTGGCAAGATCGCCCTTTCGACATCAACCAACACAATACGTAGATCAAATTAATATATGCTCATTATTTATGACGCAATTTCCGAAAAATTATAGAGTCAATTTAATATCCAGAAAAAATAAAATTTCGATTATACATATAGTATAAAGTTTGAATAGAGACTAGCAATTATGCTATTTTTCATATATTTATTTTAGAAAATTAAACGGGAACAAATCTAATTTATAACAAAACGTAGAAAAAGAAAACGATCACGACAAGTGAAGAGTAAATACAAGTCCTATAATAAAAACTTGATCAATTATAAATTCTTACGACTTCGCACGATGATTTAAATTGATAAGCCTTTCTAAATACAAGTAAAATCACTGATGTGTTAAATCATGCGTGCTACAAGTCGAGATACCGCGTCTGCATGAACGAATATTCATTCAGTTGCAATCAGCATTACTTGCATATTATATATTTTTCTTTAAAATGAACTCACAGATGCTCCAAAGGTAACAAACACGTGTGGGATGAGCCTATCAAAATGAGTCCCTTCCAAATGATCCATTTCTTCCGATTTCAGGGATTGCCTGATATACTGCAGGCTCTCCTCCGTCGACGTCCCTACGGTTAACATTAGTCTCCATTTAGTGGCATTATTTTATAATATTTGGGATGCGCTTAATCAATATCGTAAACGCTTATCTAAATTAATTTTATTTCAAAAGTATCAAAAAGTTTCGTTGTATATCACTTTCTTAATACTCAGAGTATCTCATTATATTGCAATTAGTTACGTGTAGTTAATTTGTCATATGTATTACATGTGTGAATAAGTGGAGAATTGTTGACATATCTTTTTGAATTTATGTATTACCGTAAGCGGGGCTGACTCTGTGACTAGCAAATATTCGAAATAAGAAAAATTTCTCGTGTTTTACCTCGTTAATCACAGAGTCACCCTTGCTTACGATATTTGTAAATGGGCACAAGTTTCAAAAGATGCAAGATTTGATGAATTTCTATCGTTTAATTAAGAAACATCGCGTATAAAGTAGAAATGTATGGTGCCTTTCCGTCTTTCTATTTGTAAAATCAAATTTTGTGCCAAAGTAACGTTATGTGTAATCATATAAAGAGATAGAACATAATCTTTATTATATCAACAATCAACTATTCTAGGTAATAATTTATTTCACAAATTAACTTGGATCTCTAATATTGGGTCATCCCGTAAATAATACGGGTTTTTAGAAATATTTTTGAAACAAAATAAAATAGTGTAACAATTTAATTTTAATCCAAAATATATTTTCTATTATAGTATTTACTACTTTTTCTCATCGTAATCTTAAATTTTCAATTCACTAAGCATAAAAGTCTTTCGGTTTTGAATTTAAAGAATATATCAAATTTATCCCTTATGGTATGATTCAAAATTTGATACAGAAAGTGGCAATTTACAGGATTAATAACAATTAATTTGGGGTAAAATCGTGATCGTTGTCACTTTACCATTACATAAAATAAAAATATTGTTATGCCCGCGTTTTAGACGCTCGGTATCTGGCGAGTCGCCTAGATACCAGTTACTAATGTTATTAAACAATGTTATTGGTTTTGTGTCTGGCCTCTGTTCTGAGCAGACGCGTAGGCCTCTTGTAATCTTTCCGCACTTAAAATACTGTTTCCCAGTGCAGACCGGATCCGACGACTTGCGTCTTCACGTGAAGCGTAACAATATTTATCAGTTTGACGTAATCCAAACGTGACGCTATCTAATATATTTTCATATTTAGTCTTCATGGCTTCCGGATGGTTGCCGCGTCCGTTTGCAGTGTGGTGCCGACGTTTCGCAGGCGTTGCAGTCTGCTTCATCAGGGCTGGGAGACTCTGATACAGTATCAGAGTCT